ACATATTTTGGGTTTCCCGGCCACAGGAAAACATGGACTTTTTCACCAGTTAAAACCATATGGGAGGCGGGGGGTATCATTTAGTGAGCTCATCGCTCACAGTACCTCTAGTATTCTTATTACATCTATTAGAACTGTTTAATAAAGGTTAAATTAGATACCATGTATTGTGTAAAATTTTGACAATATCCAACGTGAATATATTCATGTATGTGACTTCATATTTGCATATAATTTTCACCAGTTCATAGCGGATACGTGGTATAGTATGTCTCTCGCGTCACATGTGAGAGGTCCCGGGTACGAATCCTAGTCGATCCATTTTCTTTTTTTTTTCCGAAATACTTTTTTTTTACTAAATGATAGTATTCAGCATGTGAAATGAAAAATTTATGAGGTCTGGCTTGTACAAACTCATAAAATCATCATTACAGTGTGATAAATAGAATCTTCTATACACATAATAAAGAATAAGCAATCAAATCTTTATATCCACATTGGTATATTTGATTTGCTTCATTATACATGTATACATTCAATAATTCTACAAATTCAGTCAGGGGATCCGACCCCCCCCCCCCCCCCCCCCCGAACTGCGCATGGTTTAATTTTTTCCCTAAGCGGGGGGCACAAACTCTCTGAATTAGCTTGTATAAAGTAATTGTCGATTTGTCATTGCACTTTATTGTACATACATTTGTGAAATTAAAAAAATCAGATCTTTCATTTTGTTGAATAAACTGTACATGGCCTTTTTACCCTGATCAGAAAAGTGAATTTGAGTCCTGAAAAAATTATCCATTATTGTTAACCATCATACCAAGGTATTTCAATCGATTCATAATATCTATCTCTTGCCCACAGTAATGTCATTTTTCTGATAGTTTCAATTTTCCACCATTTCTGAATACAACAATCTTTGTTTTTTTTTTTCTACATTTACAGTTAAATCCCATTGTACAGTATAAGAATGTAGTACATTTAACATTTGTTGCAAACCATTTTGGAAATTAGTGTGATTATTTCTAAACGTGAATTATAATGAGGAAAAATAGTTCAACATTTACCTAACCTTTGGGAATGGTCATTCCGGGCTTAATTTAAAAATTGTGATTTACTCAATTATTCCAAATGCTGCCGTAAAAGTATATAAGGAGATTGAGAAAGGCGCTAGTTGACCATTACTTCGCAGCATACAGTTGTGTTGAAAATGTTGGCAAAAGGACTTCTCATTGGCTTGTTGGTTGCTGTTGTAAGCCAGAAGGTGACAGCAGCACCAAGTGGTTTGTATTTTTTTATTTTGCCTTTAAAATCTGATACCTCTAACTATTGTCATTAGAAAACATTCAACTCAGTCTAAAGTTATTTGATAAGCACCAAATGTATGATTAAGGGAGAAATGATTGGGTAGTATTTCATGTTTTCCCCATAATATTTCAAGCAAGTAGAGTGGGGGGGGGGGGGGTCCCGGCTGTGCCTCCACTTTTTTTCCACACATAACTGTGTACTAAAGTAAATGTTCATCGCAATTAAGTGAAGGGTAATATGTAGTGTGTTAGGGGTAAAAAAAATGTTACTGAAAGAAAAGTTAACCTTTAAGGTAATACGCAACGTCGTAGTTTGAACTTTATTTGGTTCTTCCCTGGAGTTGAAGAGTTCCAGTAAATGAAGGACCTATGTTCAATACTTATAATGTCTATATATGGATTTGTATACCTCTTCTAAAACAATTTTTGATGCAAAAAAATCAGGGATTTATGTATTGTAATTTTTGTACATTTTTCTTCGAAAAATGCAAAAATTTTCATAATTTGAAATCTTTTCAAAACCCCTGGTAACGCATGCTGATTTTTTGTATGAGAATATGTAATGGTATTAAAAGTTTAAATAAAGAATATCTTGAAAAATTATCAGTAGGTAAGGTACCTTGCGTATGTCCCTTACCACCACCTCCCACCCCCGTGCTATGTCATTGTATATTGCTGGAGAATATTTAAATTTTGAAAAAAAGTCTGTTACCGATTCATTTGCCACAAGGTTTGTCTGTTTGTTTTAGGTTGTACCCTACAGCTCTATCCCTGCGCTTTAATAGTATTGGAATTACAGCCACTTACAACACGACTCCAAAGTGGCGACTTGACAGCATTGCCCAAGATGTGTGGGTAAAGTGGACATTTGTACTAAATAGATACGCAATAGTAGCATAGGTGTCGGAAGCAAACTGAGAGTTGGGGGGGGAGCTAAACCAACAAAAAATGCAAAACCCAACTTTCAATGTCTATATTATGTTTATCTTTATTAAAAAATGGGGAAGGGGGGGGCTAAGCCGCCGTAGCCCCCTACCCCCCGGTTCCGACACCTATGAGTAGGCATTTCAATAACTGCTTGTAACGGGATAGACTTTCTCAACATTGGACACACAATGCAACTACAATGAACTAAAAATCTTCTTTAAAAATGATCCAATTCCATTTTTTTCTGTAAGTAAACTTTTGTGCAGTTTGGTGATACAAGACAAGGTCCATCAGTAAGTAGTTTCTGTTTTATTTGCCACGCTTGACAGAATCTCCAGAAGGGGACAGACTTGCCTGGGATCCGTACCCTCGTGTTCCTCAGATGAAAACTACATAAAGCTGACCCAAGCTCTTCGAGTCCTCACTACACAATGTCGTTTGTTGGGCCAAAGAAAATAAGGTAAACACTGAAATACATTTTGCCACGTTTGTTGTATGAAATTTTAAATAGCTTTAAAGCGTCATAATAAAATGTTAATTTTATTTTCTTTCCTTTTTCCCCAGATGAAACACATCCTAAGACCATTGTAAAAGACCGCATGTGTTGTATTGTCCAGTTAAAAATAGTAATGAATAAATGTTTCTCAAATGGTATTTCATTTTTTGATATTTATTTAGTTGAAAACTCAAGCATTCCTTCATAAGTGCAAGATTAAAATGTGGAAAAAGAACATAATAAAAAAGATATATCATCCTGCCAGCACTTTGAGAGCATTATTATATAAACGGCCCATCGTGAAAAAAAAAACTGTTGGCTCTACATACATCCCAATGTTTTATGGAATGACTGTTAAAAAAATTACTTCAAATACAACTTATAAATGTTTTTTTTTTAAGAAAGAAGCTTTTATTTTTATCTTGTTTATGCAATAAAAAAGAAACGCAAATCATATTCGTATAAAAAGATACTAGTATTCTAAATTGATGTATTTTATGTTGTATTGTTCGCTTCTTGTGATATGCAGTTTGCTTTGAATTACTGGAAGACTCCAGTAGGCAGCTTATGTCTGTTGGTCAATCCATATCTAATTTTAAATATATATTGTGTCAAATTTACTAATACTCTATTAAAATCCTACTGTACTGTCTTTGAACTGTTTCTTATCCATTGTATTAATTATGCATGCTATGTCTTCTTATTGGACAGTCTCAGGTCAAGGTTGTTTGCAATGAAAACAAAATTATATATGTTTTCATAATATAGTAACTTACCTGTAGCTGTCTAATGAATTATTTAATACCGTCCATTATTTTTAAGGATGGACAGATTTTAAAAACTTACTTTATACAGTTACATGTAAATTACTGAACTGTTTTTGGCTTAAAAACAATAAAACGTATTTAAATGAAAATAACAGACGGAAGATGATGTCATACTAATACTTTGATACCTTGGATGAGAAACAGGTCTATGAGAGTACATGTACATTATGCAAGCAATAGAGAAAAGGGTTTTAAGTGGGTAAAAGGCATTGTGCGAGAAGAAAGAACTACCGGACCTCCATCAGAACCAACAATCGACCCTTCAACAGTGTTTTTTCTTCCCATAGAATGGACAGAATTTGGCCTATAACCTTTACATCATTTTTTAAGGCTATAAAAGTACGCCAAGTAGTATGTTATTAGCTCAATTGAGCCGAAGGCTCAAGTGAGCTTTTCTGATCACATTTTGTCCGTTTATCTGTTTGTCTGTCTGTAAACTTTTCACTTTTCGACTTCTCGAAAACCACTGGGCGAATAATTTCAATCTAACTTGCCACAAAGTATTCTTGGGGCGAAGAGGATTCTAGTTTGTTCAAGTAAAGGGTCGATCCTTCTCACAAGGCGATATAATTAAAAATCAATGAAAAAATTTATGTTATCTTTTAAAAATCTTCTTATCATGAACCACTGGGCCAGGGAGATAGAGAACTTCTGTGAAAACTTTCTCACGTTGTGTAGTTTAAATTGTTTTGAAATCCTGACCCCCGGGGGTAAAGAGGGGCCACAATGGACGGTCAAAGTTTTAGAGAGGAATAAACATGTATCATGATTGGTCATATTTGCATGGAAGTATCATCAGATTGTGTGGAACCAAGTTTGTTCAAATTATAACCTCTGGAGTAGAGTTGAGCCCACAATGGACAATCAAATTTTACGTAGAAATATATACATGTATGATATTGGAGAAATCTTCATTTCAAGAAGAACAAAGCCAAAATTTGTCATATTCATATAAAGAAGCATACTTATGTAATGTATAGTTGCAAATATGTAGATCAGAGACATAATGGACAATCAGCGTTTCACATAGAAATATATAGGAAACTTTTAAGATCTTCTCAAAACCCACTGAGCCAAAAAAGCTTAAACTTATGTGGAAGCATCCTGGGGCAGTGTATATTCTAAATTGTCCAAATCATGTCCCCTGGGGGTAGGGCAGAGCCACAATAGGTATGGCAAAAGGGGAAATCTAGTAGAACAGAATAGCCAAAGATAGTAAGGTGAGTGAGCTGACCCATGGACCTCTTGTTTTGATTACTTTTTAAAAGTATAATTAGTTAACAACCCACACCCACATATCATGTGGAACCGAAGTGTTGCAGCTATGTATGATTATAGCTTTTACTAAGTTAAGGTTCAACATTTCATGGTTGCACAGGATGTATACAGGTGAGAAAAACTTATCTCTGACAGGTTAGGAAATCTACACATCTTAATATCACTTCCTGCCAGTAAAATGTCCTCTGTGAAAACGTTAGTGGTAGTGTCCGTTATTTATGTTGTATTCAAAGGTTAGTATACACGTATTGTAATGCACAATATGCATATACATGCTTCAAATTTTGTTGTTTTTTTTCATTTAGAAAACTTTAAATTATATGTTTAAGAAATTATATTGTCAAAATAATATGAAAATGATAGCTATTGATGAATGATATAGAAAAAGATTAGAATAGCAGGGAATAAATTTGTTTAGTAATTTAAGGATAGAAATCATAAGCTGTTTGCATATACAGCAAGTGATTATACACCACCATTAAAATTTCATGTGTTCAGTTGAGACCTTCACATTTTAATCTAAAGCATACCCCAAAGTCACAGGAATGTAATATTAGAACATTTTTCATTAAAAAAAAATAACGTAAAAGGTCATTTATAAGGTCAATGTAAAAAAAAAATCAGTTTGAATTTTTTTTTATCAGTGCATAGGCTTGCACACACATATCTTGAATAATTTCGAAGAACTAAGCTAAATGAAAATATAGAAGAGTGATTCCAAGATCGAAGGAGAGATTAGAGTTTCATTTCTTTATGCCATTCAATAAAACTAATCAAAATACATCATCAAATAATGTTTTATAAACAAACAAGGGGGTGTCAAAAAGTTCGTGAACATTTTCTTCATTTACAAAACCGTAATTCCTATCAGAATAAAATTTGGCACAGATAGTGCCATTAACATGATCTTTAAATAGCAAATGTTGTGTCATCTTTTGCAGAGGACTTGTGACAAAAAATGGTTGACTTAGTCGTACTCGAGCAACGAACTGCGTAAAGTTTAACGTATATTTCGGCAATTCTATAGTATGCTCTAAATTGTACAAGTTTTCTGAAGACAAAGGGCTTGCCAGAAGTTCAATCAATTACATGTAATTGGATTGATTATTTTAGTGAAGGATTGGTTATTTAATGAAAGAAAGGAGTAAATTGAAAATGATGTTTGTTCTGCTGCCAAGTGAAAGCAAGCTGAGGAAGAGATATGTCCTTAGTTAAGCAATTTGTTATGAAACAACGCCAAGTTACATTTAGAGAAACAATTAATTGAATTTCCTAATTACGTATAATTTTTAATCCTTAAAATATCGTTTACTTTAGACTTTAAACATGTCAGATATGATAAAAAGAAGGCACCACTACTTTATCCACATTGAATAAAACGACAAAGGACTTGGTATGAATCGTGACATACATACAATATACCTTCTTCACCTGCATACGGAGTTTATATACTTAGTATCCCAATTGATTCGATAGGCAAGGACTGTTTTTCGTATGAACAATATAGTATATAAAAGGAGGTAAATTATTGCCAAGTTGATGAAACAAAGATTTCAGCAGTTTCGTTTAAAATCATTACTTCGTAAGTTCTATGATCGATACAATGACCTTGTCAGCAACTACAATTAATCATTGAGTCAAATGCTGAATGACGTTTTTCATACTAATTGTTAGTCTTTATACACTGAATTGGCGACGGATATTCCCGTTATTTCCCGATAATGACATGGAGCACATCCTGGGTGCGACTGGTCGGCAAAGGATGTTCACTCCTCCATGGCATCTAATTCCACCTCTGATGTTTTGGAGTTCCATGTTTGCTCTGCTCATATTTTGTATTGTTTTATGGACTTTTGATCTTAAATACTGTTTGTTATCTCCATATGTTTCACATACTAGCTTGCGATATGAGTCTAAGAATGTACTAACTATATATTTTCGTTTGTTATACCTTTAATTTACTTGTAAGTATGGAAAAGTTCTTCTTCACGGTTAATAATAGGATATGCTACACCATGCTTTTTGACAGTTGCTGAATCCACTACTTATCAGACACACGTCTGTCTCCGCCCCGGAACTGACGTCATTGTACAACTTTTTGAGTGGAAATGGGACGATATTGCCAAGGAGTGCGAGAATTTCCTAGGTCCCAAACACTTCTGTGCTGTTCAGGTTAGATACAATTCAACTTTATGTTTCGATTCTGACAAACAAACAAATTAGAGTACTAAAAGTTTAAATTTAAAATGTCGAATTTCAGCGGAGGTACCAGAGCTATTACTTTTTTTTAACTTCTAGGTACCTGAATAAACTCAGGTGACCTATTGCTGTCTGTTTTCGTCGTGCGTCGTTGGTAAACTTTGGAATATTTTTAGCTTCTTTTCTGCAACCGCTCAACCAATTTCAAGCAATTTTGGCACAAAGCTTCAACTGACAAAGGGAAACAAAAATTGTGAATTTCATGGTCCCTGCCCCCCCCCCCCCCCCGGGGCCTGAGGGGTGGGACCAAAACCACTGAAATAAGTGCAATTTTTAAAAATCTTCTTCTTAAATACTCCTGGACATCAAGCAGTCAAACTGTTGGCATTATTGTAAACAGCATGGAGTCCTACCATTATTTTGAAATTCATGGCCCCTGGGTCAGGGGTTCAAGTGCTAGGGCGTGGCTAAATAGATTATATAGTGAAAATACTTTATTTCTTTGAAAATCTTCTTCTCTGCTCCTGGGCATTAAATAAACTAACCATGTATAAAGTTATGTTTAATAAGACTGCTCCTTCCAAAATTGTGACCTTCATGGACTCCGGGTCAGGGATTCTAGTAATAAGGTGGAACTCTGTTGATTATATAGTGAAAATACAAGAATTCTTTGAAAATCTTCTTCTCTGCTCCTAGTTATTTAATAAACTAACCTAGAACATAATTAGATTGAATAAGGCTGCCTCTTCCAAAATTGTGAATTTCATGCCCGCATGGTCGAGGGTTCTGGTGTTAGGACGGGGATCTATTGTTTATAAAGTGAAAATGCTTTATTTCTTTGAAATGTTTCTTTTTTGCTCGATCCTAGGTATTTTACAAACGAGCCAAGTACATAGTTATAATGTGCAAGAATGTCTCTTTTATTTCGTGAATTCTTGGCCCCTGGGTCAGGGGTTCTGATGTTAGGGTGGGACTCTATTGATTATATAGTGACAAAGCTTAAATTTCTTTAAAAACTTTCTCCTGGGTATTAAATTAATTAACCATGTACATAGTTATGATGAGGAAGGTTGCTTCTTCCAAAATTGTGAATTTCAGGCCCCCTTGGCCAGGGGTATTGGTGTTGGTGTTAGAGTGGGACTCTAATGATAATATAGTGAAAATGCATTAATTCTATACAAATCTTTTCTTCCGGATATTACGCCAATGATCTAAGTACATATTTATGATGAAAAAAGGTGCCTCTTCCAAAATGGTTAATTTCAGGGCCCCTGGGTCAGGGGTGATTCAAACCTCGAAAATTTTGACCCCAAGGAAATATGGTGATTTTACAGTAGTCTAAAAATATATTAATGCTTTCAATTTGTTATTTGGTATTAATCAACCTTTTATGATGCCCCGGGCTCAGTGGTTCCTGTGGGTTGGGATGCACAACTGGTTATAGAGTGGAAATGCATTTTCTCTTTGTTACTCTGATCTACCTCTGGGTAAAAGTAACCTTTTGAAGTAATCATGCTAAGTGTTAAGTTTTCAAAAGCAATGATGTCTCTGTCAAAATCGTGATTTTCGTGGCCTCTGTTTTGAAACATGAATCAAACTGAATTGTTGGAAAGTTGTTACATGATACTCAAATGACCTATAAGGCCCGTGTGCCTCTTGTATGTAGAGTTAACGTAATGGGAAATTGTTAAAGATATGTTGCATGAAACTTTTGACCACCAATGTAGTAAATACAATTAACTCTTTAAACAGATTGTACATTGACTTTTCAAAGGTGTCGCCTCCAAATGAAAACCGCATAATTGTAAACAGTACCCATAATCGTCCTTGGTTAGAAAGATATGAACCTGTTTCTTACAAGATAGAAACTAGGAGTGGAAATGAAAGCCAATTTCGCGACATGGTCAGGAGATGTAACAACGTACAAGTCAGGTACTGTAGTATACTTTGAACAAATTAAATTTTTACATACATTAATTTCTTTTTAATCTTCACGAGAACTACCAGTAATACATGTAAATGATAGCTATTACTGATGAAATTAAAATCAGAAAGACTATTGTTCTTGAAACAATCACCGCGGCAAATTGCGAAGATGTTTTGTCCTCTGATTACAAATTTCAGTGTATATGCTGACATAGTCATTAATCACATGACTGATGTTCATCACCATGGTTACGGTACCGGACACTCGGTTTACCACGGAGAACAGCGAACCTACCCGACTGTTCCCTATGGCGGATGGGATTTTCACGACTCACTTCATTGCCATACAAAAGATCTAAACATAGAAACCTATTCCAGTTCAGAGGAAGTTCGGAACTGTCAATTAGAGGGAAAGGCAGACATTAACCATGGAAAACCCTTTGTTCAGGATTCAATTGTCGATTTTCTAAATAAATTGATAGATCTCGGAGTTTCGGGATTTCGAATCAGCAGTGCAAAATACATGTGGCCCGAGCAACTCAATTCAATTTTTGACAGACTGAAGGATGTAAATTCGGTAAATGGCAATATGGTTCGACCTTTCCTGTACCACGAATTTGATGACAAACCGGGAGACGCTGTAAAGATGTCTGAATATTTCAGTATAGGCAAAGTAGAGTATGAAAACTACGGGGTTACTATAACAGATCTGATAAGGTAACCGCAATGTCTATACTTTGTGATGGTTTATAAAGTCTTTAAGTATATATTTTTTATATTTACTTTATCATTTCACCTCGAATAGAAATCGCAGTTTGAAGACTTTCCATTCGAACTGGGGAACATCACGTGGAATGCCGTCTCCAAGCAACGTAGTGACGTTCATTGATGATCAATTAAAACAAAGAGATATTACACGTGTGTAAAATAATTCATGAATTGATATAAAATCGCTGACTTTTAATTAATGATTTTAATGATATTTTTTTCATTCAAATTTTACCCTTAAAACATTAAATATTTCTCCAACACAGACCCATTATATTCACTCACAGCATTACTTCGTCATCATTCATTAAACGACCAAGTAAAACGGAGACATATTACACGTATGTCAAATAATTCACAACAAATTCATGAATTGATATAAAATCGGTGTCTTTTAATTAATGTTTTAAAGGATATTAAATATTTTTAAATCAAGACCCAGTATTTACTCAATCTGACCGGAGAATGTACGAGGTCCTCAATGTCCTACTGCTGGCCTATCCTTACGGAATCCCACGTGTGTTTAGTGGATACTCGTATAGGAAGTAAGTATACATAGAAAAAGGAATTGGTGAGAGAGAGAGGCGCTGACAGATAGACTGACAAAGGGAGAGAGAGGGGTCTTTCTCTCAAATACCCGGGTAAAAGTTATTTGCTGTTTACGGAATTCATTCTATAACACTTGTTTTACGTGTTAGATTTACCAAAGCTATTTAGAAATATTTATAATTTGTTAATTCTACACAATAATTTTCTTCCGTAGTGTTTGGGATGGGCCCCCTCACAACAGAGATATGACGACGGCAGATGTCATTGTAAACGCCAATGGAGATTGCACAGGAGGATGGGTATGTTTTTTGTTAATTGTTTAATCCAAGCAATTATATTATATTTATTTGTTGTTTATTTCAAATATTGTATAGCCTTTAATTTTTGTTGACAAATAGCTTTTTGATATTATTTGCAGACATGTGAACATCGACTGAATGCATTGTATAAAATGGTAAAATTCAGAGAAGCTGTCAATGGGACTAGTGTTCACAACTGGTGGTCAAACAATGCAAATCAGATTGCCTTTTCCCTTGGATCTAAAGGTTTCGTGGCAATAAATGCTGAATCGAGCTATAACCTTGACGCTTATTTACAGACAGGCCTTCGGGGAGGCACATATTGTGATGTCATATCCGGTAGTCATAACTTTTGCTCAGGAATACGAATAGCAGTACGTTCGGATGGAAAGGCTCGAATAACAATTCCTCAGAATGCTCACTCTGCTGTGATAGCTATTCACGCCAGTAAGATTCAATTTATTTCTTTTTTATTTAAACACTTAATTTTTTGGTAATTTATTTAACGTTTCCTCTACTTTTATAATTTTAGATGCAATGTATACTGGGAAATGACAAAAAAGGATAAGGAAATCATTTGTGAAAGGAATTGGTGGAGAGTAACACAATTTCACTATACTGTACAAATTGCTACTGAACAGTAAAAAGTTAAATTAAAAACATTTATAAGTCTTTGTTTTTGATGATATTACTAAATACTATGTAGTAAACTATCTAGATTATACCGGTACTACATGTATAAACAAGAAAGTTTAAGGAATTGTGGTCCCAAGCTTTCGGTGTTTTAGAGGTTGGGATGCAATAATTTATACATGTAGTACATGTATTTTGTAACTCTTATGTTTCATGGTTTCTAAACTGCATATTCAAAGTCAAAAGTGATATACTTTCTAAAATGTGTCGCCTTCTTTTTGTGGCAAGGAATTGACCTCTAACATCAGAGTGATTCACTCCGATTATGTCATATTAATAATCTTCTTTCATTCAAAAGTCAATATCATACATTTGCCTATGTCTATCCTTATATAACAATACTAATTAAATTGAGATTCAATTCTTTATGACATGTAGTTGGTCAAATGATATATCTTTCTTGCGTATGGAAAGCAAACTGCACAAGTCATTTGGAAAGTTAAGATTATGACGTCGTAGATACGTTATGTTGCATTTCCATAACAAAGTCTAAATAGTGCCCATTTTTCCTTGTTTTTTTTTTTATTAACATTAATTCCTGTGGAAAATGATTAAAATAACTTTTCATGGAACAATACATTGATTTTACATCTTCGTAACACTGTATTGTATTGAAATAAAAATAATGAATTAACAGATTAGGCAAAAACGAATAGAAAATGAAAATATAAATATAAGAAATAAAATATCATTTTTAGAATTTCATTGGAGATATGAAATAAAGTCAGTACGTGATCAAACATACTATAACGCCAAAGAATCTGATCACGTGACAGACTTTATGTCATATACCAATGATACTCTAAAAATGATATCTTATTTCTCAATTATAATGTTCAGCACTTTCTGAAGAAAGTTATTGTCATACCCTGAATGCCGTCTGTCACACTCTCCTCTTCCTCAAATTTTTTTTATTTTAAGAGTACCCAATCAAACAATTGGGATGTGATAGATGGGGACCTGTAGATAGCATTAAGTTGTCTGAATTTTCCATTTTACCAGGGGGTGTCAAACTGGACGTTTTTTTCCCATCCAAATCTGACTCTCTGAACACCTCCTATATTTTACCCAGCAGCCAATCATTTTTTGGAAGATGGTTGATGGTGTCCTGTGGATGTTCAATGAAGTTTCAGAATTGTTTTTTTAACTCGAGGATTAACAAGGGTCGAAAAAAAAACGTTTTTCTACACAAACCTGGTTTCTGGAACTCCTCTTACATTTTGAGCAGTATTTCAATCATCTTTAGAACGATGATTGCTGGTGTCCTTTAGATGTGCAATCCGGTTTAGATACTGATCTTTTTACCCTAGGGACCAAATGGGAGCCAAACTGGGTTTTTCTACAAAGCTGCCGGTTTTCTGATTTATTTCTTACTTTTAACGCAGTAGTCAAATCTTCACAGGACCTGGTCCAACCTCTTGAATTACCAGGTGTCCATGTTGTATGTCCTCATCACATATTTGTATTGTTTAGAGATTTTTTGAGATCGAAGTTTGTTTGTTTTCCAGGCCTTTTACAATAGAAATGTTTGCCGTTTCCTGTAGATGTGCAGAAGGGCGCAGAGCAAACTAGAGGTACTGAGATAGCCCCCTCCTCCTATAGAGCTATAATGGCAAAATTTATATTTTGCTCTGGGGACCCTAAATAAGAGTCAGATCAAGAAGTAAAATAGGAAGTGTACAATGGCATTATGTAATAACGATTTAGGAGTTGTGGATAAGAGATGGGTAGCCTGCAATATTATAGTAAGGATGGCAGTGTACGTGTTTTGCTATGGGAAACCCGTAATGTGTATCCGATCTAAAGATACAAAGAGGATTGCACAATGGCACTTTGAAACAAAGATTCCATGAAAGTTGCAGATAAGAGATGGGTATCCCCAAAGCGTAACATATGGACGGGTGGGTACATACAGATGGACGGACAAATCCCCTCCCCCCACTTTTCCAGCAGGGGTATAATGAAGACCTTAAAGCAATCATCTTAAAAGTTCCTAAATACAGGGAGCACTGATTTTTTGAGTAACGACAAAATTTTCTCTGATGAATTTTATCGAAGATTATGCTGTACGTTTGACGAAACATGAAAAAGATTTGAATTTTTACTTACTTACGTACTTATGCCTACTATCCCTTTTGGGGCATAGGCCGCTGACAGGATCCCTCCAGGCCCCTCTATCTTGACCAATGCTTTCTGCCTCCTTCCAATTCTTCCCCATTCTTTTGAAGTTTGCCTCCAGATCTCTCCGCCAGGTGTTCGTAGGCCTCCATCTCTTACGTTTTGAAGATTTGAACACAAGGTAAGAATGGTTTTATTGTTTTAAAAATTAAAGATATGAAAGAAATTTTCGTGTTTCGAATTATTCTGTGTCATACTCTTTCCATTTGAATTTTAAATTTATCGTATTTATAATGAAATTCGAAATCTTTTCTTGAGCCATCGCCAAATTATTCACCCTCCAGTATAGTAACGGTCAAAATTGCATGACGACGGGTGTTATCCCAAAAAATATTGATTGCGTCGAGTTTATGAGCGCATAACTACGACGGCGTATTCGTGCCATTTTAACAATGTAGAATTTTTTTTTAAAAATCGTTTGAGCGATTTAATAAATCGTTTGTACAATTTAATAAATCGTTTGTACAATTTAATAAATCGTTTGTACAATTTGTTTGTTAAATCGTTTGTACAATTTATTAAATCGTTCATACGATTTATTAAAATAATTTGTACGATTTTTATAAATCGTTTGAACAATTTAGGAAACCGTTTTTACGATTTAAGAAACGTTTGTACGATTTAAAAAATTATTTGTTCGATTTAATAAATTGTTTGTACGATTTAATAAATTGTACAAACGATTTAATACATTGTACAAACGATTTAACAAACAAATTGTACAAACGATTTATTAAATTGTACAAACAATTTGTTAAATCGTACAAACAATTAGTTAAATCGTTCAAACGATTTTTTAAAAAAAACACAGATATGGTCGTACATAACACTTGCTCCATGCGTGTCAGATATGTTTAATTGATATTTAGTTTGAAGAAAAAAAAAAACCACAGGGTTTAGTCGTGGTTAACAATAGTGAAATTTTTTAACTGCATGTAGTATTTATATACATGTAATATCGACAACGTTATGCAGCGATATAGAAGGGAATGAAGGTCCTAGCAATAAGGGTCTGAAACTTATCTAGAGTAAATTTACAAAGCAAAGTAAGCAATAAAAGATCTTGCCCCTCTTAAAGGGACATGGACATAATTTTAACTTTTTAAACCAATTTTAAAGTTTACTTTTCTTTATTTAGACAATTCAAATGATATGCAAAAAATTGAGCATCATTTGTTGATCCTTCTTGTTGATTAACAAAGGTGATACAAAACTTAAAATTCTTCATAATGTAAACAATACCCATGCCTTGTTTTTTTGTTTAAATATAGAAAATATATTTATAACAAAACAAGATTCACTTAATTACTAAAAACTGTCTAATCGTACTTAGAATTATATTCCTTCTTGAAAAATCCAACTTTAAACAAACATATATTTTAACTACAACCTGTATATAAACAAACGTGACACAGGCCTTGTTTACATAACAAAAATCTGTTTTTTATCTCGACAACTGAATTTAAAATTTTTGATAATTATTTAAAAAATACTTTAGCTATATATTTGTAAACATTAGAATTGCAAAAACAAGTTTGAAATTTTTTTTGCTG